TTGGTGAAGGAACTCCAGAATGCTATAAGAAATTGGCCGAAAGATGTATGAATTCTGATCCAAATAAACGACCGATCATTACCATCATCAGTTCAAGTATCGTTTATTGGCTCGACGCGATAGAACAGGATGATGATAACGAGATCAAAAAACAATTCTTAAACGCCGATAAAATAATCCCAAAACTCGAATCATCGATTCATCCGAGACATATGTATACAAGCAAACTGATTGACATTGTTGGGCCGGAAAGGTAATCTGACTAAAGTAAACCATGCTTATATCGCTTATATTGCCGACATGTAATATAAGGCATATTGGAAGTATAAGCGATATAAAGCATATAGGATTGGATATAATAAGAAAGATAGAGAATATAACATTTATAAAATTATTAGTAAATTTATTTCTTGCAAATAAAGTATAAAGTGGATTTTGCAATATCAAATGAGTGTCGTCAGGAACGGAGTTTGTACAACATACAACGTAGTGCATGGAGTGTACAAAATCTTAGACATAATTGGTCCGTATGAATTAGTACTCTGCAAAATCAAGTCAAGTTTGAATTTGCAGAGTACTAGTATGAATGGAGTGCAGCCAGTTTAATCTAACTTATACGAAATAATGTATGCGCCTATGTAGGTACCTTATTTGTGTATGTAAAAGAAAATTTTAAGTAAGCATTTCAGGTTTAAAGTCATGCCTCATTTTCTAATTGATTTATTCCTAATAAAAAAAAAAGTTAACGTGTTTAAAAAATGGATTTGATAAAATATGTTCTGAGTCATTTCACACAATTTAGGTCGATTCCGAATTGACTTAGGTCATTCATAAATTTTCACGCATTTCTGAAATCTGACAGGTTAGTCAATTACATGCCTGACTCTATCACGGCGGCATAAAATTGACTCCGATTATACGTATGACAAATCATTATGCCATTATAGAACTCTACCAGATTCATCTGCAGGTGGCGCCACCACATGACTCGTATTTTTGAAGGCCGCCTTGGTAGAGTTCCATTATAGCATAAAATTATTACTAATCAAAAAAAGAAAATTTTTAAATATTTCCTTTTCCAAAATCAATAATAAAATTTTAGCACTATAGTCAACTAAATATAATTGAAAACACAGTCAACTTTAATTTTTTCCTTTTAACCCAATTCGTGGAAGTTCATTTAACATCTACGTGGATTTCTTAATTGTTTGAATTTGCAATATACAAAAGATATGGAAGGCAAAACTACAACGAATATACAAAAATTTTCTCAGAACGATGACTCATGTTAAGAGTAGCACACGATCAGAGTTCAAGTAAGGTGGAAGATTTCCTGCTTTCACAAAAAAATGAAAATACAGCTTCTCAAACTTATTCCAGCCCGAAAAAAAAGACGTAAAAACTTTATAAATTAAGTTAAATATATCCAATAATCAGCCAAACTAATGTATAAAGTAATTGGTTAAACTGTGTGAAAAAACTTTGTAAAAAAAGCTCAACCATTATATAGCATATATTAGATATTACAGTAATTATTTCAGTATAATTTACTTGTAGCGATAGTAACATTCTTAATAAAATTGACTGACGGTCCTAAATAGTACATCAAGTTATAAGCTAACCTGTCACAGATTTCAGGAATGCAATTTTCAACTCATACAGGGTGATGGGGGCTTTACTTATTTGTGCCGGTAATACAAACTCCTAAAAAGAAAATAGCCAATCAGTGAATTCAAAATTTGATCGTTCCGGATCAGCCCGACATGAATTCCGAACACGTGTAAAAGAAGAAAAGGCGAAAAAACTCAAAAACTAGTGTTTAAACCAGCCTTGGTGTACTAATTAAAAATGTCAGAAACGAAATTTTATATATAATGAATGATAATTTATTGCTATAGCCTCTAATGTTAACGTTCCAACCCTAAATTCGTGTTTTATGCACTTTGTTTATTTATAAAATCAAATTTCCTTTTTTGGATTGTATTACTGGCACAAATAAGTAAATCCGGTGATGGGTACCCTTATGTCAAGAAAATCCAATAAAATCACAGGATCTCGTGTAATAAAACAAACGCAAAAAACATAAAAAATTGTAAAAAAACGTAAATAACACAAAAATTTACTATTATAACTAACTTCTGACCTCTAAGTAAATGTTTCAGAATGAAATTTTACTTATAATCATAATTGTTAATGTTGGATATATAGTGACATGAGCGAAACGGCGAGTCAGTCACTTGACAAATGGATACATCGTGTAACCTATGAACGGCTTAGTCGATAAGAGGTGGTTAGATTTGGCAGTAGTATGTTTATAATCGTAGGTTTTAGGAATCTAGCGAAGGTAGAGAATCATTAGGGTCAAACTTCATTACAAGCATGAACTACTGTTTCTCGCAAGGCTCGAAGCATTTATTATATATTGGTTTATTACATATGCGATCTTTAAGTTACTAAATGTATTAAATGTATTATATCCCTTATATCCTTTTAACGTCCTTTATTACTTAAAACCCTTAAATTTCATATATCTCTTTTACTACTGTTTTCTCATAAAACTCTTATTGTTCTTATATCTCCTAATGGATCGAAAAGACATATAGGACTGATAATCCTGGGAAGCCCATATTAGGTAAAGGATTGGTATACCCGTTCTGCGCCACTTCGATTACCTTCTTCGGGGATTACAGTTCTACAGTTTACATTTCTCCTCTACTTAGTTTATGTATATTATGCATAAAATCACAAAGAGCTTGACAGTGAAGTTTGAGCAGAGAGTTCTTTAGGCATTAGACATCTTTAAGGAGTGACTTTGGTCAGAAGCACAGTTAAGAAGTTAAGACCACCTAGGTTTTTTTTCATTTCACAGATATTTTTTTTTTTAACCTTTATCACAGCTCTCTAATCCACAGGCACTTTACTCTTTTTGTGCAGGTTTTATTCCTCACTAGATCAGGCTCTATCATTCTGACTTATAGACAGGTTCATTTCACTTTTTGTCTCAAGACTTTAGTTTTGATATTGGGTTTCTTTAGTTCATCTTACAGTCACTACCAAAATGACACAAGTGAAATGGTGAGTTAGTCACTTGACAAATAGATATATTGTGTAACCTACAAATGACTTCGTTAATAAGAGGCAGTTAGATTTAGTGAGTAGTATGTTTATGATTATAAGTTTTATAAATCTAGTGAAGGTAGAGAATCATTAGGGTCAAACTTCATTATAAGCATGAACTACTGCTTCTTGCAAGGCTTAAAGCCTTTATTATATATTGGTTTATTACATATATGATCTTTAAGTTACTAAATATATTAAATATATTATATCTTTTATATCCCTTTAACATCCTTTATCACTTAAAACCCTTAAATCTCGTATATCTCTTTTACTACTGTTTTTTATTAAAACTCTTATTGTTTCTATATCTCCTAATGGATCGAAAAAACATATAGGACTGATAATCTCAGAAAGCCCATATTAGATAAAGGTTGGCATATCTGTTCTGCACTACTTTGATTATCTCCTTTAGGGATTACAGTTCTACAGCTCACAATAGTAAATTTTTGATATACTATGAACCATATCTTTTTGGTCAGCAGCTCAGGATTTTCTTGGCATAAGGAAATTCCAGAGGGATTCTCAAAATTTCAGGTCAGAACCATCAGATTTAGCCTGGCATTTAGTAATACAAGTTAACCAAACTTATCAGCTGGGCAGCTTTACTTAATTAGTAGGCTATGGTTTTATTAGTAAAACTTTTAATGATCTTGGGCAAAATTAGTTAATTCCAACCCTGCTGATCATAATTCTAAAGTATTCTGATCCAGAATTTTGAGGATCCTCCTGTATTAGTTGCAATTTTCATTAAAACATTATGAAATTTAAGAATTTGGGTGTAACTAATTATTGAGTGACAAATATGCATCAACTACTTTATTTATATAAATAATTTAGTTGGTGCTTATTTGTTATGTAATTATTTGTCACGCTACAGTATTGTAATTTAAGGATTGGGTGTGAGCAATCATCTATATAACAAATAAGCACCAACTAAATTTATTGTCATGGATCATAATGAAATTGGATCAAAATGAAATGAGGAATTTCTATTTGACCTCCTAAAACCCACTTATACTTGTTTATTATAAACTTAATCTCTAAATACTAATTTTAACTAAAAAAATATTAAAAAAAATGCACTTCAAAAATTTGTATTTTTTAGTGGTTTGTTTATTTGATATTATCACTTATTTTATTTTAATCTGATTTCATTTTAATCTGTCATATTTATTTATATAAATAAATTTAATCAGTACTTATTTGTTATATTTTATTTGTTATATTTTATTGGTTATTATCTAATTCCAAAACTTAATAAAACAGAATTATTACATTATTAATTTGATTAATGCAAAAATAAAACAAAATTAATAAATAAATAAAGGTTTATGTAATTTAGCACACATGCATTATAATGTATTTACTGATCAACCAACTAGATCAAAAAAAAATTTTTTTTCTAATAATTACTTGTAGTTTGTAATTTTGCTTATTAAATTATTTTTTATGTTCTAATAAAAAAAATTTTTGTAAAATTTTTTTGATATAAGAATAGCTTTACTATTACTTAATTTTGATCTATTTTAACTCTGACTCTTACTCTAAATTAATATGTTAATTGGTTTGTTTTAATTTTATATTACATTTGATTTTATAAATGCATATATTTAAAATAATAAAATTTATAAATAAAAATTTTTCAAATATTTAATTTTATTGATAAATACAATTTTTTTTAAAATAAAAAGTTATAACTTTTTAATATATAAAACTTTTGATCAAATATTAAAAGTTTTTATTTATCAAAATAAACCAATTACTGTTTAATTTTTTTTTTTTGATGTTAAGGTAATCTCTTTGGTTTTTTGACTTTATTAACATATTTTTTAGGAATATAGTTCTATAAGGAGCTACTACAGGAAGAGCGTACAATTGGCCACTTATATAACTTTTTATATTACCTATTTAAGGAGTCTATCTAATATTTCTACCAATTGTCATATCTAACACTCCTGCTTGAATGTTCTATTTAAACTCTCTGAACTTGTCCTATATTACTTCATCAGGTCAAGCCTGAATCCTTCATCTCAACCTTAGGACAGTTATTCTTGAGATAAACCTTTCAGAGCCTGCTGTTTACCCATTTTTGTAGCTGACCCAGATATTGCTATGGCAGAACCAACACTTGCAGTCA